GTAATGCCCTTTGGCCTAAAACTTGATTGAATTTATTGCATCTTTGTTGGATTTCTTTATTGAATCTTCCGTCTTCTCAAATAATGCTCCTCAGAAACGTGAAATCCTCCGCTACACACACACACACACACACACACACACACACAATCACATACATACACACAAACACACACACACACAATCACACTCACACAAACATACACAATCACACACATACATACACACACAAACACACGCACACACACAATCACACACATACATACACACAAACACACACACAATCACACTCACACAAACATACACAATCACACACATACATACACACACAAACACACGCACACACACATAGACAATCACACACACGCAAACACACACAAACACACACACATTCACAAACACACAAACATACACACACAAAGACACACACACACACACACACACACGCACACACACACACCCCCCAAACACATGGCTACTGCTCTAGTCGTACGGCCTTAATGTCGAAAGAAGCCGCCAATTATAGGTTCGCCTTTAAAGTCGAAGTTCATCTGCCTGATGTACAAGGCAGATGTGGTCAGGGCCCTTTGGGAAATAGCAACGGAATCAGTAGAGAAAGAAGATTATTATGAGCTGGAGAAAATGAGGCACGTGAGTGTAACCAGAGGGTCTGGTCGGCTCCCTACACTCAGAGGGAAGGCAAGACGGACTTAAAACCAGATTGTGACAAGTACCGTTAGTAATGGAACTCTGCGCTGGCGGCTGAAGATGGCAAAGCAGGCATGGGAATGCCCTGAGTGTTGTGATGTCAATTCTTGACTCAACTCAACTCAACTGCCGGATGTGCACGCAAAACATATGTTCTGGAACAAGATTAAAGTCCTAAACTGGACGAACAACCAGAAATTTTCGATGGGGTTTACAGCCAGTAAACACGAAGAAGAAGTAGAAGAAGAGGAAGAAGAAGAAGAAGAAGAAGAAGAAGAAGAAGAAGAAGAAGAAGAAGAAGAAGAAGAAGAAGAAGAAGAAGAAGAAGAAGAAGAAGAAGAAGAAGAAGAAGAAGAAGAAGAAGAAGAAGAAGAAGAAGAAGAAGAAGAAGAAGAAGAAGAAGAAGAAGAAGAAGAAGAAGAAGAAGAAGAAGAAGAAGAAGAAGAAGAAGAAGAAGAAGAAGAAGAAAAGAAGAAAAAAGAAAAAGAAGAAGAAGAAGAAGAAGAAGAAGAAGAAGAAGAAGAAGAAGAAGAAGAAGAAGAAGAAGAAGAAGAAGAAGAAGAAGAAGAAGAAGAAGAAGAAGAAGAAGAAGAAGAAGAAGAAGAAAAAGAAGAAAAAGAAGAAAAAGAATAAGAAGAAGAAGAAGAAGAAGAAGAAGAAGAAGAAGAACGCGTTATCTGGATTTACCTTGTTAGCTTGCCATTCATATCGTCAGGCCATCTTAGCGGGGTCAAAAGTTCAGGTATGAGACCTAGGTTTCCATGTCCCTGCTAGTAAGTAAACGACCTTTTCCCAAGCATTCAGGCGTATTTGGGCAGAAGAAACATTCTCTGTTCTCTCTTGAGAAAAGATAGAGAATCCACACACTAAAATGCTATTTCGAAGGAAATGTTTAGGTAGGTTGGTAGGTAAATTGTACCCCACCAGGACATCAGAAAAGCGATAAACACCCGGTGACACAAAGTGCCACCATGCTGATGAAGATCACCCGTAGAGAGGTCCCGGAAACCCCGTTCAGCTGTTAGCCCTTATTTAAGGCCTGGCTGGGCAAAAGCCAGGTTGGTGCTTCAAAATAACAAAAAAGTGCATCCCACATGGGAAAGACGCTCTAAAGGGAATGTGTAGAGATTTTGAAAGATATTCAACATTTACCAGGGAAAACAGGCGGACTTTTATCAGGTTGCAATTGGTACGATCATCGTGTCAACTCTTCGTTACCTACTGAAGAAAGGGGCGGAGCCCATGTGGGAATGTAGAGTACAGTAATGTCAATTCTTGATTCATTCATTCATATGTTTTTGTTCTCTCTAACACCAACATGAAATACCGGCGTGCAACTAGATGTTTATTATTGGCAGCGACCTCGCCCTACATTTCCCTGTGATGTCGAGTGGAAACTGACAAACCCCCGATTTACACGTCAGGATCGATAGAGGTCACTCGATCACAGGCAGACCAGGAAACCGCGGCTTTTCGCTTGTCTGTGATCGAAGGTAATCATTACAGAACAGATGCCCATACCCCGCGAGCCTTTCCTCCGGCTCTGGTATTGGCCTTAGCATAAACAGTGAAGAGGGAAAAGAACTGAATGGGATACATGACCAAAGGTTCTCAGTTCATATGGGTGTACAACCCTAACTTAGAACCGCATTAGGCCTTATAAACTTTAGTGGATCAGTCAGAGTGACAATTCTGTGGACATGTATGCAGAATTGAAGAGAATCGGTCATCACGGCAGGCGTGGAATATTAAGACCAGGGAACCAGACCCCCAGGGTTCGCTGGGAGGGCAACATCCGACAGTCCCTGGCTGACAGAGGACTCGAATAGAACTATACCCACACACACAAAAAACTGCTGATAGAAACTTGTGGCGATCTCTGGCAGATCACAGCAGCCCCATATAAAAGAGAATCAATTAAGACAGGACTATACAACTAAGTTTACTCAGTGGACATCATTTTGAAAATGAAGAGCGTCAAGAACAGAGGCTGGAGCCTGAACATAGACAGATCAGTAATACGGTGCAACTGGCAATGATCTGCGTGCCAGATACTAGGCCTCCGCGGGCCAGAATTGGTTCTGGAAGTAAAGTAAGTAAAGAAGCGTAGTGACTAGACGCTGACCCAAAGGTATCGAGTTCGAATACGTATCCAGTCGGAATTATTCTTCCACAACTGATCTTGGCTCCTAGGATGGTCCAGCATGAATGGGGTATCAGGTAATAGCTTGTGAAGTAAAGGCGGTCAGGGTGTTGATCATATCCCTCCGCCTGCAGACTGGTCTACACAAATGTTACTATAGCATCATATGCCTGCAAATTGGTTGTGGTGTATCGGCTAGACCCTCGCCTGCGGATCGAATAGTCGTGGGTTTGGATCCTGACGGAGCCGAACTTTTTTCAGAAATGACTTTGGCTCCCAGGTTGACCCGACATTTAGTGGGTACGAGGTGCAATCCTGGGAAGTAAAAGCTACTGGCATGATGCTGACCACATTACCCACCAAGTGCCGATTGCTTTATAAAATATCAGGGTCTAGCCCTATATGCCCAGTGTGTCTGAAGGCGTGGAAAAAGAGTCTTTTACTTTCATTTAACACATAACATAACCCTTGACCCATTAGGGTCGTGGAGGTGTATTGATGGAAGCACTAGCACATAAAACCCGTCATCTTTCTCTGTCTTCTGCTTGAGAAATAAGTGTATGAAAACTTAGTCCTGTTCATTTCTTGATGTTGTCATTCCAATATCTTCTTTGCCCTCCTCTTCTTCGACTACCCCCCATTGTTTCGTGAAGTACCGTCTTTGAAATCGATTCATGTCTCTAAACATGCCCGAACCAAGCTAGCTTGCGACATTTCACCACTGCCATGAGAGGCTCCTGATGTCTCGCAAATTTGTATATTTTGTCTCTGACGTATTTACTTTCCTGTATCATATGCCTGATGCACTATCTTCAAGACGGGATTGGCTGCTTTGTCTTCTTCTAGACTTCAATTGTATGTTTCATGTGGATACAATAACAGCAATTAGACCACCTGTGTATAAAGTAAAAGTAAAGGACCATTTTCCACGCCTTTAGGCGTATAGGGCATATAGGGCTAGACCTATATTTTTATAGACCAGTCGGCACTCGGTGGGTGATATGGTCAGTATCACCATCTGTGGGGCTGCCATTTAAATAGAGGTAACTTTCTTTCATTTCATTCATAAAGCAAGTGGTGCAATACTTTTAACAACATCAACAGCAGCAGTAGCAGCAGCAGCAGTAGTAGCAGCAGCAGCAGCAGCAGCAGCAATAATAGTAGCAGCAGCAGGCGCAGCAAAAACAACAGGGGCATTATGAAAACGCAACACACACATTAACTGCTTGTTTTAATAATTGTGGTGTAGACATTTTTCTGAAGACTTATAGATGACTACGCAATGATTTAGATTGGAGGCAACCCTAGACAACCTGGAACGCTTATTAGAGCACTCCACTCTGGGTGTATTTGAGCTCTCTTTGATAAGTTTTGTGTTGTAATTTAAATGTATTTCAACATATTTTTATGTTTAGTCGCTACTCAGAACTTTATGTGTAGATTATATTTTAACTTGTTACAAATCACCGTAGCGTCATGTCCCTTACTGAGGACATCCGGTATAGTGCAGCAGGGGAAGATCGAGGATTCGGAGTTATGACCCAGGTCGGCCCATCTTCCGAGACTGTATAGGAATGTCTGTTATCTGATTCAGTCTATACATACATTTATGTTATTTGTTTTAGCTAAGAAGTCTAACAATTGTTTACTTTCGTCTTCTTCTTCTTTCACTAATTTAAAATAGGTTATCTATATCCGCAATGTTGTCTCTAGTATAAACGTTACTGTATTTTGTAATTCACTCAGGGACCCGTAAAGTTTAACTTGCACCGATGTTTCTCTTGGTCACAAGTTTTACCTTGACATGTAGTATTTGGGACAGTCTTGGAGGATATGATCTGTTGTCTAATTCGCCGATTTTAATTTGTGTGTACATGTGGCTGCGAAGTAGATTGTCCTGTTTTAAGGTGTAGAATAATAACTTGCTCTGGTCTGTCCATAAAATGATAATCGTCTTGTGCCGCTTTTTGGTGGCTTTCTGATTGATTTGATTGTTCTCTTCTTTTTTTTTTTTTTTTTTTTTTTTTAAATAAGAGGCTGGTAAGTCAGGCTGATTATTTTTAATTTTAATATATTCAGCGACCCTCCCCGTTCATCCTTGCCCATAATGATTTCTTGTTCTGGCAACCCTGGGTAAGGCGATATGTTTGTTTTAGGAATCTTGTGTCACAATGGCTTGCCGTACTTTTCCGGTATAATAATCGCGCATCTTGGATTTGTCCCCAAACAGAATATGTTGGCTCATGTCTGGCGAGTATTTGCTGGCTGGGGGCGTCCGTCCGTAGACCTGTGGGAGAGAGAGAAAGTGGTTCAAGGCTTATTTCACTTTAAAAAAAAAAAAGCCTGAGCATTGTGCTGAGCTTCTTCGAACACAGACTTGAGTTAGAAGAAGAACGAAGCACTTATGGGTTACTACCCGTGTGCCATGATGTTGATCAGTGGTTCAAAACATCAGAACTTTGGCCATGTCATGAAAGTGAAACAGTTTACAAATTTTGTATTCGTAAACACTTTGTGCTATTAATGCCAAACATATGCATCTTTAAAAAAAAAAAAAAAAAAACAGTAAAACTTAAAATTACAAAACGTGAGATAAGATTTATAAGCAATACGGTACGAACAACAAATATAGACTACTACTGTTGCTGAGGCTGCTGCTGCTGCTTTTTCTACTACTACTACCACTACAGTATTACTACCACTACCGCCACTCTCTTTCTAACACACCACCACTAAAACCACAACTAGGACCACGACTACCACTACTACTATCACCACCGCCAACACCACAGCTAACTACTACTAGTCGTAGTAGTTGTGCTAATACTACTGGTAGTAATACTTATCACTATTACTATTACTTGCGAAGAGCTAAGATCAATGGTATTCACAGTACCACTAAATGATTTTACTCAACAGCAAAAAAATTAAACGGTTTCCTCAACTGGCCACAAAGGGAAACACAAAAGAGACATGAGCTACCAGAACGCAGGCTACAGGGCAAGAGGCTGACCAAGAAAAATATGGATGGAGGCTGTGAAAGAAACACTTCAGAGAATCAATATGACATTAACACAAGCTACAAACTAGCAAAAGATAAGAGACTACATCTAACTTTTCTCTGCGACGCAAAAAGAAGAAGAAGAAAAAGAAGAAGAAGAAGGAGGGAAAGAAGAAGAAGAAGAAGAAGAAGAGGAAGAAGAAAACGAAGAAGAAGAAGAAGAAGAAGAAGAAGAAGAAGAAGAAGAAGAAGAAGAAGAAGAAGAAGAAGAAGAAGAAGAAGAAGAAGAAGAAGAAGAAGAAGAAGAAGAAGAAGAAGAAGAAGAAGAAGAAGAAAAGACGAAGAAGAAGAAGAAGATGAAGAAGAAGAATAAGAAGAAGAAGAAAACGAGGAAAAAAAGATGAAGAAACAAAGATAAAGAAAAAAGAAAATAATAATAATAATAATAACAAGAAGAAGAACAAGAAGAACAAGAAGAATGTGTGGGAAACTGAAACAGTACTCAGTGCAAGAGAAAGACCTCACAGAAGACTCTTGCATCTCCCACAGTACTTCAATGAGATCACTGGAGCGGTACTTACATTAGTGCCCCCGTCTTCCGATTCCCCAAAACATTACTGTTGCCAGGGATTTTTCTCCGGTAGTCCGCTATACCAACTGTTTCTTTCCTCGTCATTTTTTAGGGACAGCGTTACTTTCAGCGATGTTGTCTGTAGCAGACACGTTGTGCTGAGCGTCGCTACAATTGTATGTGTTTCGTGGCGAGGAGCAGTAACATTTCTTTCTAGAATGTTACCTTTCTTTCTAGAACGCCCCTCCACCCCCACCCCCCCCCTCCCTCCCCTTCCCTACCGGCCGACAATTACCACCGCCACAAAGAAATAGTTACTACTACATCTACTACTGCAGATCTGCTGTTACTACCACCTTCACGACCATAACTGCTGCTGCCAGGACTACTACCGTTGCTTCTCCTACTGCTACTACTGCTACTACTGCTACTACTGCTACTACTGCTACTACTGCTACTACTGCTACTACTGCTACTACTGCTACTACTGCTACTACTGCTACTACTGCTACTACTGCTACTACTGCTACTACTGCTACTACTGCTACTACTGCTACTACTGCTACTACTGCTACTACTGCTACTACTGCTACTACTGCTGCCGCTGCTGCTACCGCTACAGCTGTTATTACTACTGCTGCTACTAGCGGCACTACAACAACTACTACTACTGCTGCTAATACTACTGTTGCTACTACTGATAGTACTACTACTGCTGCTACTACTGATATTACTACTACTGCTGCTACAACTATTACTACTGCTGCTGCTACTATTGAAACGGCTACTACTGATACTTCTAATACTGCTACTACTATTAATCCTACTACTGCTGCTGCTCTTATTGAAACTGCCACTACTGCTGCTACTACTACTGTTGCTACTACTGATATTACTATTACTGTTGTTACTACTACTGTTGTTACAACTACTGTTGTTATTACTGACACTACTACTATTGCTGCTTTTACTGATACCACTACTTTTGAGACTACTATTACTGCTAATGTTACTATTGAAACTGCTACTACATTTGCTACCACTACAGTTGCTACTACTTATACTACTACTACTGCTGCTACTACTACTGTTACTACCACTGACACTACTACCATTGCTGTTTTAACTGATACCACTACTACTGCGACAACTACTACTGCTGAACTACTAATACTACTACTGCTACTATTGAAACTGCTACTGCTGCTGCTACTACTACAGTTGCTACTACTGATACTACTACTGCTGCTGCTACTACTACTGTTGCTACCGCGGACACTACTACTATTGCTGCTACTGCTGCTGCTGCTGTTACTACTACTACTAGTACTAATTACTACAATAACATGCATGGTGAAAATGGTAATAACGAATGATGATAATAGTAAGATGTTTGTTTATGATGATGAGTGTAATGATGATAGTGATAATAACATTCCTCGTGTTATCGTCACCACCACCAGTATGCTCATCATCATCATCATCAACACTCTACACCAGTTAGTTACCTCGGCCACCTCTCTCAGATAATGTGAAGCATTGCCACAGCAAAGCCCCACGTACTCTACCCCGATCTCCTTGCAAGCTTCGGCGAAGTTTCTGATCTCTGACCGACCACACAGCTGGCTAGGCAGATCCAGCGGGAAGGCCTGGCGACCTGGTGTTAAAAGAGAGAACAAGTTGAGTTGTACAGTGCAGGATGTCCCATTAGAGTTGTACTGATACTTGGGGTCAAAATGGACGCTAGGCACAGTCACTGTTTTGAGTCGTGGCATAATTGTTTCTTCTGCCAGACGGTGGCTGTTACATTTTTGCTCCATTTGTAGACTAAAAATGTATAGTTTCCTCGCCCAGCTACTGAATGGAGTGCATGGCACGAAACTGTGAGCTGCGGATTTCATTTTAAATGTTTTTCGACTGTGACCAACGTGGTGCTGTGAATTGTAGATTCAGAAATGGCGCGTGGCCTGTTGTCGCAATATTGGTGGTACCCTTATGTGATTAAAATTAATCGCGTGTGCAACTGCCGATCTGTTGGTGACTTCTACTACCATCGATGATTAACTGCTTTTTTTAATGTCGGAATGTTTGTGTTAGCACTTCGGATGGCTACCATATGCTTTTAATGCGTATGCATGCTAGTGAATATGCTGAGACAGCAGTCTGTCATTCTTTTCACACAGGGACTGTGATAAACATTCTGTGTTTTTCGTTAGCACAGGAGCGGAGCAACTATGGGGGTAACCCGTTTGCTATGGACCTAAAGATAAGATTACCAAGATTACCAAGATTTACTTTATTGAGTCACTCCACTTCTACCTTGGGGTGTAGAGGTTTGCTAAAGAGATCGCTAGACTTCTCTGTTAACTTTTTTTTTAGGTAGGTTTGTGTTTATATTTATTCGTCAGAGCAACATCACGGCACACGGGTGTAACCCATAAGTGCATCGTTCTACTTCTAACTCAAGTCTAAGTCTGAAGTAGCTAAGCACAGTGCACGAACTCTGTTGCACCGGTGAGGATCCTGAAATAATTTGGGTAGATTTTAACTCCAAAGTTTCGCCCAGGCAGCGACTTTAGGCTTACTTTCGAATTCCAGCTGCCAAGAGTTTTTTTTACGTGCGCAAGAATACACACGGATGTCCGATCTTACTACCCAGAGACCAGAGCAAATACTAGAAGTCCATGTGAAAAAATCCCAGCCTGGAGGCAGACACCATATCTCGAGACTAATCAACTTTGCATGAAAGAAAAATCGACTCGTTCAACTAGCATTCCCAAAGGTGTTGTTTGGGTTATAATTGTCGCTAGGTTTTGAGCGCCTTATAAAATGGCTTACAGATGCACGCCACCGAGAGCACTGAAAAGTGCCCCTACAGTGTTGATGCCATCAAAGGAAACAGGCCCAAATACTGTCCGACAGGCGACGAAGTCGTCTATAGGCGAACCAGTTAGCAATTCGGTCGCCGATGAGTTTTCTTTTTGGCTTTGTTCATTTCGAGTCCTCAGTCCGGTACTTACTGATGTCTACCCAGCGAACCCTGGCTCGTCCAGGTGGTCTGGTTCCCTGGTTCTTGACCTCCCATGTCTGAAGTGGTAACCAATTGTCTCCTCTTCTCCATACATGTCCAAACCATCGTAACCGTGACTGATCCACTCGACTTTGTAAGGTCTGCGTTTCAAGGTCATAACGTATTTTCTGACTGCGTACTTTATCCCTTCTTGTCATTTCAACCACCTTTCTCATATATCTGATTTCTGAGGCCTGTTGCTGGCTTCTGTGAGTTGTTGTCATTGCCCATGACTCACACCTATATGTCAGGACTGGCACATAGGTAGATAAGTATTCATACATAGGAAAAATACCATTGTTTTCAAACCACATTTCTGTATCCACGTTTGAAGCAAACATATAATCCGCAGCTGGTGTTACGACTGAAGTTGCGTTGGCGATATGTTTTTTCCCCCCTAATGTCGAACACTATATAACCACTTCTTCGTGTGACTTCCGGATTCAATTTTGCAAAGAAGGGAACCGATAGTTGGGGGAGGGGGTTGGGAGGTTGGGTTGAGAGACTCACTGTTCCTTTACAAGAATGTCGTAAAAGGCGAGTAATTAAACAAGTGATGAAATCGGAAGTGTTGTCAACTATTTTACTAGAAAGTGTTAGAGAAACAAGGAAACTGAATAGAACACTAAACAAATTAAAAAAAAAAACCAACTTTGTAACGAGTTTTACCCAGCTAAACACAACATAGATACCTGAGAACGGGTCTTTCAGGGACTGCATGCTTGGGAATTCTAGGCTGGTTCTGTAAGGAACCGGCAGGCAAGCGATGGGACCCTGTACAATACAGCAACAAGAATCAATATGAAAAAAAAAAACAACAGGACCCTTTCAATAAACACTGTACAAACAATTGCGAAAAAATTGAATTTGAATTTAATTTTTTTTTTTTCTTAAAGATAAGTTTATAGGCGGGTAGAGGAAGTCGAGTAGTTTAGCCCCAACCTCATGTCCCACCTATTGCTTCTTCTTTCTTTTTTTTTTCCTCTAAGGATTTGTAGACTCGCTTTAGAAATGCAGAATATCAACAGCGAACTGAATCTTAGACAGTTGTAAACAGTCTCTGGTTATATTTGTGATCCTGTTTATTTGCGCTACTTGCGTAGCTAAGATATTAGTATATGCCCGAGTTCTCTGGCTTTATGATCCGATCATAATAGCTAGAAATATCCTTTTTGTCTTTGTCATAGTATGTTCCTTTTAACCTTATCTTTCTAATGTTTTTCTCATGGGTCCTCCCCCGTTAGGTTCATAATCCCTTTTATTGGGTTTCTTGTGTCCTTCAATGTGCTCCAGAGTTTGTTCGCTTCTAGTCTGGCGAGGCATATTTCGTAAAAGACCGAGCTAGTTAGGTAAGTAGATAAGTTTTACCCCACCAAAACATCACTCAAACGATAAATACCCGGTGACACAAAGTGCCACCATGCGGATGAGGATCACCCATGGACAGGTCCTGGAAACCCCGTTCAGACGTTAGACCATATTTCAGGCTGAGCTATATTTAGGACTCCGTCAAAAGCCAGGGTGGGGTTTCGAAATTTTTTTTTTTTTTTTTTTTTTTTTTTCGAAATAAAATTTAAAAAATTGCACCCCACAAGGGGACGACTTAACCGAGCTAGTTCCCGGCTGTTCTTTACATACAATCTTTTTGGACCACCATTTATAGTTTTACAATTTTGATTATTTTATTTACTAAAAGCACTGAAAATTGTTTTTGGGTTTTGATAGATCCGAAATTGTGAAAATAATTCGCATTGGATCATAGCGATAGTATAAATAAGATTCTGTAATAAGAACAGGTTAGGCATATAATATTTACCTTACAAGCTGCCCTAACTTCTTTTATGAGAGGCAGAATGGAGGCCGGGCCCCGACAACAGTTTAATCCTACCACCGCCGCCCCTGCCTCCTCCAGTCGACGGCAAGCCTCGGCAATGGGCACGCCCTCGATTGTAAACTCTGTAGCTGTTGGCATTAAGGTGATGACAGCGGGGACGCCTATGAAAAGAGAAAACAATTTGTTCTTCAATTTGTGAGATTGATTATACTTTTTAGTTGTGAGTTTGATTTTACTTTTCAGTTGTGAGTTTTATTATACTTTTCAGTTGTAAGTTTGATTTTACTTTTCAGTTGTGAGTTTTATTAGACTTTTTAGTTGTGAGTTTGATTATACTTTTCAGTTGTGAGTTTGATTATACTTTTCAGTTGTGAATTTGATTATACTTTTCAGTTGTGAATTTGATTATACTTTTCAGTTGTGAGAATGACTATACTTTTCAGTTTTTTAGCATGATTATACTTTTAACTTGTGAGTTTGATTATACTTTTTAGTTGTGAGTTTGATTATACTTTTCAGTTGTGAGTTTGATTATACTTTTCAGTTGTGAGTTTGATTATACTTTTCAGTTGTGAGTTTTATTATACTTTTCAGTCACCTCTTGTTGATGGCTTCCGCTAAGGTTCTTTAATCATCGAGTGCTTTCCCGGCTGGCGTAGGCGATTATGCCTGTCTACAACCTGTGTTGTTCAACAGCAAAAATCAATTGATGCAAAACAAAAAGGCTGTCAAGAATCTATCTTCTTGTGAGGTCTTCGCATCATGTCCCAGTGTCTTCCAACATCATCAAGTGACCACAAAATGATAACTGCCTCTTTCTGATTTTGAACACCTCCCTACCCGTTCCCCCCTCCCCTTCCCTCCCCCAACACTCCTTTTTTTTCTCTGCTTATCTCCTAATCCCTTCTTTATCACAGTCGTCAACTGAGAACCCCCCCCCCCTTCCCCCCACCTCCTTCCTCCCCATTTCCCACACACACACACCATATCTAAAAGATTATTTTAACTATATATAGAAACCCTTTTAATCATATATAGAAACCCTTTTAATCATATATAGAAATATTGTTGTTGTTGTTATTATTGTGTGTTGGCTTGTTTTTTCTGTATTCATTTAATATAATTTCGAAGTTTACAGCCAGTGAATGATGAGAAGAAAAATGAACAACCAGAGCATGATCAGTCTAGTACACTACCTTGGCCATATTTTTGTATAGACTCCAAGGCGAGCGTGGCTTCTCCCAGCTCTGCAAATGTTTCCCCGAGGATGAAGTCAACACCAGCTTCCACAGCCCATTCAATCTGCTCCTGTAACACACAGTTTGAACGTTCGCTTTTTTTTCTGGGGTTCTTTGTTAATATCCTACCCCAGATGACGTCACATGACAGTCCATTTTAGAGGGTGATAAGACTGGGTTTACCGGCTTTCTGATACTTTGAACGACCCCAAAACATCAAGAACTGGCCCTAACCCAAACCCAGCTACGTCCTACGAGAGAGTGCAGCCTAGGTCCCACGACTGCATGCAGCCTATCTACCACCCTCTGAAATATTAGAATGTCCCGTGACCTTTAAATTATCCTGTTTGGGGTAGGATTTTCAGAAAGCACCATTTCTAGATATATTTTACAGATAAGATTTCTGATACAAGTGGACAATCGTAGTAAATTTATTAGCGTTTAACAAGAATGGTGTCCTTATATAACTGTTTATAGTTTTGTTTATTTATTTGTTATTACGGTTTTTTCTTCTTCTTTACAACTTCCGTTTGACGCTTTTCTGGCTTCGATGGAGATGCAAGGTTCTGCCTTTTGCTCCTTTGGCCAGCCCCACAAATTCACGTAGTGTTGTTGTAGGGTGTCTCTGATGTATCTTTGCATCTTGTTCTTGGCCAATCCCTTGCTCTACGTTCCTGCTATCGTTTGGTGCAAGTCGTGTATGGTATTCAGAGCTGTCATCAAATAAACTGAACTTTAGGACAAACTGAAAAATAGCAAATATTTGAACTATAAAACTGATAAAACACACACACACACACACACACACACACATATATATATATATATATATATATATATATATATATAGCTTTCTCTCTCTCTCTCTCTCTCTCTCTCTCTCTCTCTCTCTCTCTCTCTCTCTCCGTGTATATATGTGTGTGTGCATATGTGTGTGTGCCTTTTTTTTGGTAGTACTCATAGTTAAGAAAAACGGAGGTCAGTAGAGTTGTAAAATTTCTAGTTTAACTGTTTTATGCAACAAGGTGTCTACGCATTTCAAATAATTAACTCCGCAAACACTTAAAGTTCAAATTTGTTGGAGTTATACTCCTTGGGTAACTGCATATGCGCTAAGTAGGGTGACCACATCGTCACAGCAGTATCAGTTTTAAGTAGGCCGTCGAAACTCAACAACAACAAAAGTGCATGGTTCCATTTGAAGTTTTTTTTTTTTAAATTTTAGTATCGACGGGACGGTCTGGGCCTACCTAAAAAGCTTTTTTTCCGGCGACAATTGGACTTATGGCTGGCTTTATGTCACTTCCTGAAGAAATTATTTGGATGGAAGGGGTGGGGAGGGGGGGGGGGGGGGCTTTACATTTAGCTGTTACTTCAGTTCAGTCTTGGAGTCTATTACACACTGTTGTTTTATTTTTGCAGCTGGTGCCGCTACAGTGAATTCGCTAGGCCAGTGGTTCTTACAGTGGACGCTACAACCCCAGTGGAGGCGCTCCGGTGGTGGCCGAAGCCTCTTATATCAGTTTTTTCCATACTGGGCACTACCATCTTCTTGACGGTGCTGGGGGAGCTGAGGGGTCGGCAGCTTCGTTAGTCACAGTGTGGGGCAGTGGAACGGACCTGAGTGCGCTAAGAGACTCAAGGGGTCGAATGTATTTTGTTCCTGTGTTTTATCAGCTGACAAGTGGGCCCAAAAACAAGTTTCTACTCTTTAGTGGGCCACGTGAATAAACAAAACAAAAACAAAAAACATTGAGGATCACTGTTTTAGACAACATCGAAGACGAAAAATAACAGCAAGACAAAAAACGACAGAGACAACTATCATCACCACCATAGCACGCCAAAACCGAATGGAGTGGGAGATCAGGACTTTCCAGACAATGGATATTTTTTGAGAGAAAAAAAAATTCGTCACGGTCAACCAACATCCCTGAAGGAAAAGCTTTAAGTTATAATTGTGACTAGATTATGTGAGCCATATAAAACTACTTAGCACTGCAGGCCAAAAAAAGAGCTCTGAAGTGCTAATGCGATCAAAGGAGAGAAATCCAAATACTGTTGCGACCACAACCAAGTCGTCTACCTGCCAGCCAATAGGCTCCTGGTCGCCGATGCACGACTCTCCCCATCTTGTAACAACCAGTTACATAAGAAGGGACAGGAACAACAACTCTTGCATTGAGATATCAAAGTCAATACAGTTAATTACCTTAAACATGGCTTCCGCTTTTCTTTGGGACTCCTCATTGTCCGCCTGGTAGACGGCGGTGTTGCAGATATTTCCGGCAAAGAGCGTCCCCGTTTCCTTGGCAACGCTTTTAGCAATCTCTAATGCTTGTCGGTTAATTTTCTCAAGATCACCTTCTCTTCCGATCGTTCGTAGTTTTTCTCTGTGCCCGTAATACTAGAAAGTGACAAAGGGTACAGATAGTTCAGTGAACATCCTACAAAATGTTTCACAAGTTCAGTAAGGTCAGTGTACGGTAAAATCCTTAACTTTACGGCACCTAAGGTCCTATCGGGCTGCCAGGGCAGTTGCAGGTGCCCCAGTTATAACTTTATGTGCAGGTGGAACGGGTTTACAGATCAGCAGATCAGGGGGTTTGGTCATGTGTCAAGACTACCACCAGATAATGCACCACCAGATAGCACACCACCAGATAGCGCACCACCAGATAGCGCACCACCAGATAGCGCACCACCAGATAGCTCACCACCAGATAGCTCACCACCAGTTAGCGCACCATAGGGCACCACCATATAGTGCACCACCAGATAGCACACCACCAGATAGCTCACCACCAGTTAGCGCACCACCAGATAGCTCACCACCAGATAGCTCACCACCAGATAGCTCACCACCAGATAGCGCACCACCAGATAGCGCACCACCAGATAGCGCACCACCAGATAGCTCACCACCAGATAGCGCATCACCAGATAGCTCACCACCAGATAGCTCACCACCAGATAGCTCACCACCAGATAGCTCACCACCAGATAGCGCACCACCAGATAGCTCACCACCAGATAGCTCACCACCAGATAGCGCAACACCAGATAGCGCACCACCAGATAGCGCACCACCAGATAGCTCACCACCAGATAGCGCACCACCAGATAGCGCACCACCAGATAGCTCACCACCAGATAGCGCATCACCAGATAGCTCACCACCAGATAGCGCACCTCCAGATAGCGCACCATAGGGCACCACCATATAGTGCACCACCAGATAGCGCACCACCAGATAGCGCACCACCAGATAGCGCACCATAGCGCACCACCAGATAGCGCACCACCAGATAGCGCACCATAGGGCACCACCAGATAGTGCACCACCAGATAGCGCACTATAAGATAGCGCACCACCAGATAACACATCACCAGATAGCGCACCACCAGATAGCGCACCACCAGATAGCGCACCACCAGATAGCGCACCACCAGATAGCTCACCACCAGATAGCGCATCACCAGATAGCGCACCACCAGATAGCTCACCACCAGATAGCTCACCACCAGATAGCTCACCACCAGATAGCTCACCACCAGATAGCGCACCACCAGATAGCTCACCACCAGATAGCTCACCACCAGATAGCGCAACACCAGATAGCGCACCACCAGATAGCGCACCACCAGATAGCTCACCACCAGATAGCGCACCACCAGATAGCGCACCACCAGATAGCTCACCACCAGATAGCGCATCACCAGATAGCTCACCACCAGATAGCGCACCTCCAGATAGCGCACCATAGGGCACCACCATATAGTGCACCACCAGATAGCGCACCACCAGATAGCGCACCACCAGATAGCGCACCATAGCGCACCACCAGATAGCGCACCACCAGATAGCGCACCATAGGGCACCACCAGATAGTGCACCACCAGATAGCGCACTATAAGATAGCGCACCACCAGATAACACATCACCAGATAGCGCACCACCAGATAGCGCACCACCAGATAGCGCACCACCAGATAGCGCACCACCAGATAGCGCTCCACAGGGCACCACCAGATAGTGCACCACAGGGCACCACTAGATAGTGCACCACCAGATAGTGCACCACAGGGCACCACTAGATAGTGCACTACCAGATAGCGCACCACAGTGCACCACCAGATAGCGCACCACAGGGCACCACCAGATAGTGCACCACCAGACAGTGCGCCACCAGATAGCGCACCACAGGGCACCACCAGATAGCGCACCACAGGGCACCACCAGATAGTGCACCACCAGATAGTGCACCACAGAGAACCCTGTCACTTGGACATAATGAAAGCAGAACAAGAGGTCGGTTACGCTAGCAATCAGTAGATGGTATATATATACACACACACACACACACACACAGACATCAGCATCTACGTAGCTTATACCAGCTTAATGCTTTTTTCAAAACCTGGCGCTGAGAAGCAAACCAAAACTAGAAAAGAACAAAAAGAAAGAGGACTGTCATCTTGGAAGCGATTCTTGAAGCCACAGAGATGATCATGCCTTCAGTTTGGCAACTCGAAAAGGAAAAAAGGCAATAAACAAAGGAAACATCGTGGAGTCAGGGACAGTAACGCCCATCAGGCGAGCACTCCGGAGCTTTTAATGTTGCTCTTATGATAACATCTTATGAGGTTGAAAGAAGCATCTAGGTTTGATCTGTTGGACTGACAATCAAACTGTCATTCTTTGGGTCGCTGTAGAGTCAGATCTTCATACAGCAATAAACAGTACGGAGGCGCAGATAGATCATGACGCTCTAAGGAGAATGGCGCTGCGAGGAGTTACCAGGGAATCTGACTGACGCTCAACACTCAGGGGAAGGATGAGATGGATAAAAAAATCAGACGGTTACTGGTACCACAGAAATGTGAACTCTTCGCTTGCTTCTGAAGATGGGGACTGAGCATTTATGGGAGTGTCCC